CTTTCCCTAAGAATCCTGATTATAATTCAATCACAGAAGACTACCCAGCAAGTTCCAATATATTCCAATATATGGAGCACTCTCCAGAAGATCCGGACAGAAGGTAATGTAAAAACATACACAATATTAAGACTTTCTAAATGTTGCTTAGTAGAGAAATTCAAGTCTCTGAAATGTGTCACCCAGGAGATTTCATTTGGAACAGAAGCCCATAGTTAACAAAATTTCAGTAGGGAGGAGAAAAAGGAAACAATAAAACCAGGTTGAATCATTAATCAAAGACTGTGTATATGGCTTATGCTTTTTGGACCTACTGGTAAATTAAAAAGTAGGAAAGCATTCTCTTTTTTAATGTATGTAACTAATATAGTAAAGGGACCGCTGACCATAAACTCAAGGTTAAAGCTTCCTCGAAAACAAAAAGCAACTAAAATAAAAAAACAGAAACTAATATCAATAGTGACTGCATTTTACAAAATCAAACATTTCCCTCAGAAAGTTGATTGAAAAAAATATATAAATAGCTTCTGTTTTTACAGTTAAAAGTTTTTAATCTCTGGTGCATAACAGTAATTGAAAGAATTCTGAGAAATCAGACAAAAGTATTTGGCAGATTTGAATTAATGGGCCAAGCAAGCTTTTTTTCCTTGGCTTCCCTGTCAAATGAACCATAGCTTGAGTCTTTGGCTACAGCTTTGGCCGTGGGGAGGATTTCTGAGACGCCAACATAGTTTTTTTTGGCCATCCGTGAACTGGTTGTGATAGTGTAGGCATTGCTTCGGTAACACTTCATCGAGGACATGCAGAAAGTCTCTTTCATTCCTCTCCTAAAATTGGCATTATAAATGGAATACAGAGTAGGTTTAGAGGCCGAGGAACTAAAGGATATCCATGTGATAGCTGTAAAAACAAGGGAACTTTTCTTATAGTCTCGTTCATGGGGGTGCCACAGCTGAGCAACATGAAAAGGCAGCCAGGAGAGCAAAAACAGAAGATTTAAAATGAGGAACATCTTGACAGTTTTCACTTTTGTCCTTGGGACGATGTTCGTTGTCCTCCTCACTGTTCGACCATCGGTGCCGATTCTCCAAATGTATTTTATGACCTTCTGGTAAAATAAGATTATGAGGACGGATGGAATCACAAAGCTCACCAAGAAATGGATGACAGTATAGGCAGTTCCTTCCCAAGAGGAGGGGAGGAAATAGTTACAATGACTGTCCCAGTTGGAGCCATAGAAAAAGAACACGGGGGTCACAAATGCCGCCTCAAAGATCCAGGACGCTGCAATCATCTTCTTGGCTTTTTCTCTGGACACCTTGAAGCTCAGAGGGTAGACGATGGTGTAGAACCGGTCTATGCAGATGGAGAGGAGAACGTAGACCTGGACGCCCGGGGTGAGATACTGAAAGTAGCGCACGGCCTTGCACGTGGCGCTGCCCAGGGCCCACTGGCCGGTGGCGAACTGCAGCAGGACGAAAGGCATGCCGGCCACGCTGACGAGCAGGTCGGCACACGCCAGGGACACCACAAAGTAGTTGGTGGTGGACTGAGTCCTCCTGCTCCGGTGGATGACCAAACACACCAGGGAATTGCCAAAGACAGAAAACAGCCACAGGGCCCCAAAGAAAATGCTGGCTGTGGCCACTTCCCCGGGGTTTGGTCTGTAGTGCAGGTCTGTTCCATTGCTCCTCCAGCCGTGCTCCTCGTAGAGCTCCGTCAGGTCTTGGCTCAGCAGAGGGGAGGCCATTTCCGTGCAGCTGTGGTTTTGGAGGGGCACCAGAAGTGTAGGAACAACCAAAGGTGGCTTGCTGTTATCCATTCTGTGAGCAAAAACCATATTCATTTTTTCCCTCTTAGTTCTGGATAAGAAAAGAAGAATGAGGCCTCCTGTTAAAACGGTGTTACAAGGATTGATTCCTAAGACTAACAATCTTATTTGACGCTTAGATCGGTTGTCATCTGTCAATGAGTAGGGCCTGTGTGTTGGCAGGAAAACATGACTCTACTACCCAGAAAGAGCTCTGGCCCCGTTTCTCTTTCCTTTTAGGATGGTTTCAGCTGATCCCAGCTCAGGCTTTCCCTGGCCTCCCCGTCTCCTGACCCTTAGTCAAATGTGGTGGAACTCATAGCAAGCCCCACTCCTACACTGAACCTTGTTCCCTTCATACGCTGGGAATCACAGAGGGTTAGAGAGCTCAAATCTGGCTCATGGTTAGGGTGTTACCCCCAAATGAAGTGCTGCTGGAATCCTGGGAGGTGCGTGAGAAGTTCCTGAGTGTCGTTACCACTAAAGTAATGAGGCTGCAAGGGAAGAAAACTTGGGCAGATGGAAACACACAGGCGTCGGCTATGGAAAAAGCTAAAAGAAATCTGTGAATACAGACTGACTGGCCACTGGGAACGACCCTGTCGTTACTTACTTTAGAATTTCCATTACGAAAGCATTATGGGAGCACATGGAGCAAACATAACACTTTCACATGAGCCAGAAGTAGCTCATTTAATGACACATAAACATAGCCTGTTTTTTTCCAAAAGATGATAGGCCACCTATCAGTGACATATTTTGATGCTATTCTGTTGTTAGTATTTCACAAAATGACCCTGACTGAGGAATATACAAGATGTCCCCTAATGAATGTGTAACCAGGTTACTAGAAACCTTATGGCATTCAGATGATTATAAGCAAGCAACTCTAACTTTACCCAGCCTTTATTTTAACTTTTTTTTCCCTACTATTCAGTGAGGGGGAAAAAAAAAGATATACTTTTTAATAGGGAAAAAGCCTGTATCATTGTGGGCCATTCAATTAAAATTGAGGTGACTGGTTGCAGTCCGATCATTAGGGTTTAATTTGGTCTGAATCTATTAAGCAGAAAGAGAAAGCACAGCGACCGAATCCATAATAACCAGAGCGATTCCACCTTGCCGGTGGTGCAGGGGAGGGCACACCAGCAACAGGCCCAGCAGGGCCTCCCGGCCCTCTCCGGGGCTCCTGTCACTACACCTCACAGAGAAACATTTCTGGGGTTTAGAGATGAGATGAAAGAACAGTTCTTAACGACCCATTTTTCCTTGAAGGGTTTTCCCAATGACTTGTGGTAGGGAGAGGGTGTTAATAGATATTGTCCTCACCAAGAAAACACATTCAACAAAAGTCTGGGGCTCAGGGCAATGCACTGAAGGCCAGGTCCAGGTTCCCTTCAAGGCTTTTTTTTGGTCCATGAAACAGCCCTACGTGATTTCTCAAAGAGAAATGTAAGGTAATTAGCCATTTTAATAACTGAAAGACCCTTAAGCATGGCTGACTGGTTGATAGTAAATTGTAAGACTAGCTACCATACTTTCCATATAAAAAATTAGGATACACGGTCTGAAGACAGGACATAAGATCTAAAATTAGCACTGTCCTAGAAAATCTGGAATGCATGACTGTTATCCTTACAAAATTGAAATAATCTTTTCACCTTTATATGTGTAAAACATACAAAATTCCAAAAAAAAACCCCAAAGCCCCCAAAAAAACCCTACAATTTTTAAAAAAGATTTAAAGTTTAAAAATAAAACAGACGAGCTATTTTCCCAGACAGAAAGAGCTGTTCTAAACTCTTGGGGGATGCCTGTGGCCTAAATACAACAGGAGCTGGTAGCACAGGCACTTTCCCATAGCTCCACACACACTTTGAAACCTGTGAACTTCCTTCTGTTTCTTTCTCCCTCTCACAGCAAAACTCTGCAGATGAAACTCAAGATCACCACTACCACCAAAGCGCTGCGAGGCCTTCATCCATCCTTTCCTCCAGCTGCTTTACATCAACTAGTGTGTCCACCAATTTCTCTGACGCCCCGCTCCCCACACTCCTGCCTGGAAGCGCAGGATCCCGCTGCTCAGAAATGGAACGAGGCAGCCTGAGGTGTTCTCCAGTCTAGGTCTCCCCTGCTTGATGGCATGACTTTTCTGACTGGGCCTAAAAGTGCTGCAGCTCTGTTTACTTATTCAATACACCAAGAAACTATGCTAGGTACTAGGAGAACAACGAAAAGTAAGGCTCATAAAAGGGTAAATGTATAAATGAGCTGTCTGCCATAGTATAACTAAATTCTATAATAAGTATAATTAATAGATAAGGAGCTAAGTGACAGAGAAAAATAGGGACCCAATTCTTCTTGGGATAGGGGGAAGGAAAGGAAAGGCTTCACAAAGGAGGTGAGGTGTAAGCTGGGGACCTGGAGGATGAAGGTCCCTTCTTCAGGAACACAAGGGGTTTTTTAAAAAGCCCCAAACATTACAAGGGAGGGAGAAAGCATGTGGAATGATTTGGGGGTCATCCTTCTAGAGCTGATCTTTTTTGGGCCCTTTTCCCCTTAGAGGTATAGTCTTCTGCAGACCATACCTCCCAGACTATACAGTCTCTAAGTGCCCTACAGTCAAACTGACCTACATTTTCCCCATGGTTATAATGAGAGGTTACATTTTCCACATTCATGGGCTGAAATGTGGTCACACAGTGGATAAGAATATACAGAATGGCTGTGGATTCCTTGTTCATAGAGCATGTTGTTACTCCTTTTCCCAGTTTGTTTTGCTTTAGAGCCATGGCTCTCTAGCTTAGCAACACACTGAACTCTCCCAGGGAGCTTTGAAAAAAAATACTGATGCCTGGGTCCTACCCTCAGGGATTCTTTTGTTTTTTAAATTAATTATTTATTTATTTATTTTTGGCTGTGTTGGGTCTTCGTTTCTGTGCCAGGGCTTTCTCTAGTTGCAGTGAGCGGGGGCCACTCTTCATCGCGGTGCGCGGGCCTCTCACTGTCACGGCCTCTCTTGTTGAGGAGCACAGGCTCCAGACGCGCAGGCTCAGTAGTTGTGGCACATGGGCCTAGTTGCTCCGCGGTACGTGGGATCTTCCCAGACCAGGGCTCGAACCCGTGTCCCCTGCATTAGCAGGCAGATTCTCAACCACTGCACCACCAGGGAAGCCCCCCTCAGGGATTCTGATTTAATTGCTCTGGAGTGCAGCCTGGGCATCGGGATGTTTCAGAGTTCCCCAGGTGATCCCAACGTGCAGCCCAGACTAACAATCACTGCTTTAGAATGGCTTCCATGTTTCTGTCTTCTCTCATTAACTATGGGGTCCTGGGAAAAGGGCATTATTCTTTGTCCGTGCTCTACAGCTTCCACTGAAGTTCTTTACATTAATAATCGCTTGTTAGCTATTTACTGAATTGACTCCATAGGTACAGAGAACTGAAATACAGGCCTCCTACTCTAGGTGGCTCTGCTAGGAGAATTAAATGCAGAGACAGAAAATCACCGTGTGTTCTCAGAGAGCCGAAACGCTGGTGACCATGGAGACAGGGGAAAACATGGCTCCAGAGCAGAGCAGGGCAGGTGAAACTGAAGTCACCCAGGTCAACTCTCATTTAAGGGACAGTCAAGGTAGTTTAGGTGACCGCGGACAGCCTCCTGCACCCCCCTCCCAGAAAACATGGTCTGCCATATTATAACTAAATTCTAGGGTCCCAAAGTAAAAGTTCAAAAGGTCTCCCCTGCTCCATTAATTTGGAAATAAATACATCTTCAAGGGGGTGTTTCTGAAATACAAGGGCTGCGGAATTCATAATTATGTCTGGGTCATCCACATTCAGTAATTATAGCAGCAACAAGAAAGACATCTTCACCTCTTTCCTGCTCAACCTGTTTGCTCAACCAACTTGGAGACTGCTACATGACACACTCCATTGGGTTGATATTGAGGGCCCCTATTTTAAAATATATCTCTATCTATATATTATCTAAGAGAGGAATTATTCATCTATTGGGATCTAAGAGATGGGTTTTAATATATAGGTGGGGAAAATGGTGGATGGGTTGACATGGTGTAGAGCTAGGGACTGGGGGACCTCTGAAATAATGGGACCCTGGAGAGTCCCATCATTACAGAGGTCTGGGTCTATATATAAAATGATATGTCTATCATTTTATACTGTAATTTTTATTTTGAACGTTGTCTCCCCTGTTGCATTATGAGTTCTTCAAGGACAGTGACTGTGTCCTTATATCCCTGGGGCATACAGATATTAATAAAGGTTTACTGAATAAAAAAATGGATAGAGGTGTTAAGAAAAATTATCCAATACTTGAAAATAAGGCACAGAGAGCATAGCGTAAGTTTTTAAATTTTTTTTTGGCTGCACCCTGTCCAGGGATCGAACCCAAGCCCCTGCATTGGAAGCGTGGAGTCTTAACCACTGGACCTCCAGGGAGGTCCCCATAGCATAACATTTTAATGTCATGCTACGACATTGTTAAATGGGCTTCCCCAAGGATTATTTAATTCTCTGGAAGAATGTATCTGTGCTTGATTTTGCTATTACTATATGACAAGCACCCAGACATTACACGCTAACATGCAAATTTCTGTCTAGTAGAAAAAATAACCCCAAAGGTTATAGACTTATTGCCGGGTAGGACAGTAACCAGCTCTGTGCCTCCTAGCAATCTTATGCTCACATTATTTAAGGAAACAAACAACAGCAATGACAAAAGAAACCCTATAAATATCCATTTATTCAAATGCTCTTGGAAGCAACCTGATTATCTGATCAGTTCCTTCAGTAATAAGTTAATAAATCTTTGACATGGTGTTCATTCTATATTTGAATGAGTCATGATGAATGACAGTCATGATTTTAACTTTGAAAATCGTGACAGTCGTGATTTTAACTTTTTGAAAATCGTATTTTGATGGATGGCTGAATGTATGAATGATTAGAAGCTAATGAGAGGACCACAAAGAGGACTAGAGGGGCACAGATGAGAAACTGTGTTTACTTCACAGTTTGCCAGCGGCTATT